TGTGTGTGTGTGTGTGCGTTGTCATATTCGCTATACACTAAAAAAAAGCACAACCGTGCCAGACTGTTTCGTCGGACTTTCACCGGGTATACACTCAAAAAAAGCATGACCGTGCCAGACTGTTTCATCGGACTTGTGTGTGTGTGTGTGTGTGTGTGTGTGTGTGTGTGTGTGTGTGTGTGTGTGTGTGTGTGTGTGTGTGACAGTGTGTGTGTCGGCGACATCACTCCACAGAGGCAGAGCATAGAAATTTGAAAAAAAAAGAGCTGGTGAAGTTCAGACAGGAGTCCAGTCTACCTCTGTGGCTTACTCATCTGTTTCCCTACAGAGACCTCGTCTACCTCAGTTCATTATCAGTTGTCGAGGATGAGACTTACAAGGTCACAAGATTTTCCAAGGGGCGCAAATCTGGAATGACACCACTTAGGCTGCAGTTCTGAAGCACCCTGCAGTTCACCCAATCACCCGCAAGCGGCACAAGGTACATTTTGATCACAACACGCAGTTGAACAACACAAAGATAAGCAATGTGCATGGGTCCTGAAGACCATCTCATGCAAGTGTGTACATGTCACGCATCATCCGTGCACACAATGAACACGAGTCTCACACATTAGACAAAGGTAGATGAGAAGAGAACCGAGCTGCACAACTTATATTATCAAATATATGATTACAAAGAGTTTCATAGTTCCCTGAGTCCAGCGCTCATCAGCGCAATGTCAATCCAGCTCAACTCATCAATATGACTTCCAATACATCAGCGCTACTCCTGCAGATTGTCTCCAAGTCATCAATGTGGTCACTACTCATCAGTGCCACCTCTGCAGTTCACCTCCAACTCAGGTAAGTATCTTCCATAGCCAAACCTTGAATGAACACTCTCTGCCTCAGTCCCTTCCTCCTACGATGCATACACACTCTTCACTCATGAGGATCTACTTTGAATACTACTCATAGCTGTCTACCACTAACCCTCTTAAGTCTATACTAACTCGCTGGGCAGCTAGGGCTGCATCTATCCCAGCGCACAGTCTTCTCCCATCTCATAGCGCATCTTCATCCTCCAGCGCTGCTTCTCCTGACTGGCGCACAAGTGCTTCCACGCACAGAATGCCAGTGGAGATCTGGCAAGGAATGAGGCTGGCTGCTGCCTTTATAGTGCTGGCCTCTCCTCGCTGGGTCTGCATTGGCTCAGTTCAGCCTTTCCTTCGTCCCAGATCCTGCATTGCATGTGTCCCAGTACAGTCCCAATGAAGTTCAACTGCTGCTGAGGCCTCTCGGCCTAGATTTGGACTTGAAAGTCTGGATCTGGAGTGTCCCCTTGACTTAGACCAGAACTGGGACTTTACCTATGGACTTACTTTCGGACAGGCACATCTTTAGACGAACAGACACACTCACTGCCTGAACAGACACTCCCAAGGTGTGAATAGACACTCTTCTTTACACGAACAGGTGCACTGACTGCACGCACAGGCACACCCTATTCCGAACAGACATGACATGCACATCTCCTGGTGAACAGGTAAGTCTTTTGACAATGCCCTTTGCTTTAGATTTGGATGTGCCCGTTGATAGAGGTCTTGACCTTTGACCTGCTTTCACGTTTCTGAGCCCTGGCGAGATACCCTTTCACGCTGCTTTACTTTTACAAGGCCTGAGGCCTGCATCGGGTAAAGACCCTTTTAAATGTGGGAAGACCACAAGAATACACAATTAACTTGAATTAAGTTGAATCAACGAGAGTACTACGACATGCACACTGCACAAAAAGTGTGACAATTAACGACTGTATTTGAACAGGATCTGTTCTGTAGGTCATACACTTTCCTGTATCTACGAATACAGATGACTCTCTCAACCTGGATGATGAGCACAGGTACAGATGACCAGGTTCATGCCAGACAGAGGCCAGGTCGTACACTCAAATCTGTTCTGTAGGTCGTACACAACCTGGATGATGAGCGAGGCCTCTATCTCAGAGCGTGAATACCAGGTGGGGGGGCTCTGTCTCGGCAGTCGCTAGTTGTTGAGGAGAAAAGTGTGACAATTAAGAATAAACATTTTGCATGGACACAGGCCAGGTTCATGCCAGACAAAAAAAAATTCAACAGGATGCCGCCGACGGAAAAATGCAACAAGAAAAAGTTTGTGCTTCTGCTCACTCTTAACTCGACCACCACATGAAATCGCCTGAGGTCAATGGCAAATTTAGCAACAGAAACAGACAAAGATTGGATAGACAGAGCAATGGACAGCCGACAGCATCACACACTATACTCATCTTATCTGTTATTTGTTTTCTCTCTGTTATCCAGGTTTCCTAATCACAACCCAGAAACATAAACCACCCTCGTGTACTGCCCAATGCACTCCAACTCTTTCCAAACTGCCCATCTATCCATCCATTTCTAACCCCGTGTGATCGGATCCGCCTGTCCATCTGCAGAGACAACCCATGAGGACGGACAGACCGACAGAAGGATAGATGGATGGATGGATGGATGCTGAGACAGAGGGCGGAACAGATGGATAGACGGACAAACAGACGGCTGGACAAGCAGGCAGCCAAGCGGGCAGGCGGGCATCTACTAAATGAGCACCTTAATCGGAACTATATTGATACGCATTCGTTCAGGAAAGAGACAACCTTGTCCTAGCGGGCACACAAGCAGACGGGCGAACAGCTGTTTAGACAGACAAACAGGAAGGCAGGCATAAGGTTCACAGACTGATGGAGATGTTCGCTGGGTTCATCTACTGAAAACTCGGATACCTTCTTCTTCTTCTTCTTCTTCTTTTGGCATTGCGAGAACTCACGTATCTTAACCGGAAACAAGTCTCATCCTTGGAATTTTTATTCAAAAGAATTTCTCTCCCTTTCTTTCCCCCTCCCCTCTTTTTGGGGAGTGTCAGTCCGGTTCCTATTCCTTCGGCAAGTCGTATAGACAGCTTACCGCAATTCTATTTTGCCGGCTTGAGTAATCATCCAGGCTGGTCCCCTGGCGGTCCGGCTGGGGGAAGGTCGCCTGGCCGGGAGGCTCAGGAAGCCTAGAAAAATTCAAAAAATCTGGAAAAATCCGAAAAAAATAAAAAAAATTTTTTTTGTGTAAAACTGCACTACAAGCAACTTTCGGCTGAGGGTCCCCTCAAAATTCCTTATCAATTTTACGATAAAAATAAATGAGGAGAAATGAGGTAAGACATACCCTTTTAAACCCCCTCTCATCACTGTTAGAGTAACTTTATACCCCCCAGACACCCCTGGGTGACCCACCACCGAAATGGACGTTATATGGCCTGATTCTGACTGCTCAGGCCGAGAACAGTCCTGGCCTGAAGTCATTTTCCTTTTTGGGGGGACCCCTCCCTCTTTTTTGCCGTGCCTGGTTTTGCCGGGCGGTTACCCCCCGCCCAGCTGGCCCTGTTACGGACTCAGCCAGAGCTCGATCCCTGGTCCGCGGGTTACCACCCGCCAGGCTGCTATTCTATTTTTTTTAAGTCTCTGATCTCCGGTTCCTGACTGTTGGCGCCCTCTGCAGTTGGCGCCCGTTCTCAAATCCTGCCTCTGGCACTTTCGGATTTCGATACTTGGCGCCATCCGGCATTCTGGCGCCCAGGCTCAGACCTTCGATTTTCAGTTCAGGCCCGAGGCAAATTGCACTTCTGCCGTCAGACTCAACTTGAGTCCGGTACTTAAGACCGGACTCAAACTGAGTTCGGGGATTCAGTTTTCGGCCTCAGTGCTTGTGCTTCAGTGTGACTTGCTGCGACATTGTGTACGGAACCAAGATTGCAACTTTGCGACTTTGCGACTTTGCCACTTTGCCACTTTGTGTCTGTGTCCGTCGAGTCGTGTCGAGTCCGTGTCGAGTTGAGTGAGTGTGTGTGTGTTCTCACTCCCTCCCTCTCTCTTCCCCGACCTCGCTGCTCTACCTCCGCCTCGTCACAGTCCCGGCCATGCCTGGCCGGGCGACGGCCCAGCCTAGGTAATCAATTTCCATTTTTTCTTTCTTCAGGATTTCAACCACTTCATGGTGAAGCAAGCTTCTGGGTGCTTGTGGGTACCCTTCAAGTCCTAACTGGAACAGTGGAGCAAGGAAGTCCTTCGATGTCCCAGGCTCCCAGCGAAGGTGGGTGGGTGGAACAGATTTGCAGTTCTCTCTCTGTGCACGCGCGTAGATGCTGTACTTATACAAACTAGGCACGCCTTATTTCCACAAGTCTAGCAGGATTTGAAACCGCAACCATATCCATGGTATCCGATCAAGCCATGTTACTACATGATGATGTAGTTCGATCAAGCCTTGTTACACAAAACTTACAACACCTTATTTATGCAAGTCTAGCAGGATTTGAACCTGCGACCATATCGACGTTATCCAATCAAGCTTTGCTCTTACAAGTTTCATTTCAGGACACTGTCCTGAGCTCATGGTCTACTGAGTCCCGTGCATCGTCATGGGACTTTGCCGATGCTCACGAGCAAACCCAACGGCCCTGTCACGTAGAAAGCTCAAGTGCCCATACATCGGCCACGAGCTTTACCCGTTAACGCGCCGAAACTTACGCGGGTCGGGGAAGGCCCGGCAGTGCAATGGAGGAATATGCTGTTGGGCCCAAGGAAAAGGGCAAGTGGGCATATGCTTCCACATGCATGGCGGCAGTATTGGCCAGACAAGGAAAAGAAAACAAAAACAAATGAAAACGAGAAGTGTTTTGAAAAAAAAAAGAAGAAAAAAAGATGTACCCGCCACAGAAGGAAAGAAAACGCCCTGCAGACAGGGAAAACAAAACAAAAAAAGTTGCTGCAATCGGCAAAATGGGGAGCTCCTAAGACATTTCCTTTTTGTTTTCCCCCTTCCAAGTACTGGTGGTTTAAGGGGTTTTCAACTTTTTGAGTTCCTTGCAGCTGTGGGACATACTCGCCACAAACAGACACAAAATTGGAGTACGGGAGGAATAAGTCCTCACAAGCTTTGAAGAGATGCTTTTAAGAAAGGAGGGATAAATGTGCCAAGTGGGTTGTGTGCCAATGACCTGCAAGCATGAGAACAGAAAGAACAACACATCAACAACAACATGAACATAACATGTCAGAACAGCGAACGCGGGCGCTTAACAAGAAAACGCATCATCAGAGACGAGAAGCCAAGATGTTGGACCAAGACCACGTTAACTCAGAAAACAAGCCGGTGCGGTGTCTCACATAAGATCAGGGGCATTTTCCCTCGAAAAAAGCCGGGGGGCGCGGGGTGCCGGAGGAAGGGAACTCACAAAAGCATGCCTGGCAATAAAATGTGGCCTTGCCTTCAAAACGGAATAAGCGACATCAGTCTTAGCTGGACATGGATTATGCACTCCAGAGTCCAGAGTTCAAATCCTGCTAACTACGGTCTTCAACTGAATAGAATGCACGATCATTATCACTGTACAAGGACTGAAAGTCGCCCCAAATGCAGATATAATGACTGCGCATCACTGTACAAGGACTGAAAGTCGCCCCAAATGCAGATATAATGACTGCGCATCTAGGGGTGTTACAGATGTCAAAGACAACGGGGAAAAAAGAAATCTGTGTGTCAGCAGTTGTGGGTTACTGACTTGCTAACTCGGCATGTGATTTCAGGGCTTCACTCCACTACTCACCAAATGTGGAAAACTAGAATGAATCTTCTCCTAGAAACTGGAACCATACGCCATCATATGTTTTGTCTTTTGTGCAAGTGCTGACGAGTGGAGCGCGGCCCTTAGGGCCAATGCACGTAAGAAAAGGAAAAACAGACAAAAAGAGACAGCTACTGTACTGTTTGTAGTAAGTTTGTAACCCATAACTCTTGGAACACAGACCTGAATCCGAATCCAGGATATATAGCTGGCCTGCTCATGTTCCCCCAGCAGTTCTACGAACCTCCTTCCTTTTTTTTTTTTTTTCCAAAAATAGGTCCTTATGGACCTAGCTCCTTCTATTCTTGGGAGCGTCAGTCCGGTTACTATTCCACCGGCAAGTCACAGCATAATACATTACATAGTAAGAACACACGCTTCCTCCCGTCTGGCCGGAGGACCCCTGAACAGCATTGATTACTCCGCCCTTGGTGGAGGATTGACTGTCAGCTTGCCTTGAGTCTCTCTTCCCTCTCAGATCTTCCCTAACAGATCTGCCTGAAATCCCTGTTCAACCTAGGAAGGGATCCTCCCTTGCTGCCATGTGATCTACCTTCCTTTTTTTACCAATTCTTCACAAAAGCTGTGTCCCCCCCCTGTTCCCTAAAACCCCTTTCTCTGCCTTTTAAGTGTTGTAAAACCCTAAACCCTGCTTCCTCCCCTGACACTTTAATTGGTGTCCCTTGTCCCTTATTCTCCCCCTTCAATACTTGACCTCGTGGGCTGTACGTCCCTTCCCTGCTGCTCCCTCTCTTTTGCACCAGCCCCGTTTGTATCTCAGTCCTGTCCTTGCGAAGTTAGATTTATTTTAAGTGGGTCTGAGGTTCCCTCCCTTCGCGATTTCTTCTGCAGATCGCTCCTCCCTCCCACTGTTTATGGTAGTCCAAGCTCCTGGTCCCCATTCTCGTCCTCATATGGCGGGTCCTGGAGAACCTCCTTCCATTTGCATACCCTTGGGAAAAAAGATACTAGATTCAATGAGTACGATGTGGCCCCAAGTTTTTTTTCCCCTGTGCACTTAACAATTTTCAAACTGGAGGCACACATTTGGTTACCACATCCTGCCATTTTGACGACTTTTTTTTTTTTTTCCGTAATTGCGCCGCATCATGTACGCGCGCACGTGATGCGCCGCATGTATGCTCTCTATGGGTGGTGGTGCATGGCCATTCTTCGTTGGTAGAGTGATTTGTCTGAATTAGCAAAGACGGAAGGAACAAAAAAATTACAAAGGTTCAATGACAGTCTATCCTCCCATCCTGGAGCAATCAATGCTTATCAGGGGTCCTTCCGCCAAACGGACGGGAGCATAGACGCATAGAGTTCTGCTTATCTTGATTGTACTTCCCGTCTGACTTGCCGGGGAAATAGTAATCCGACTTTTTTTTACTTTTTTTTTTTAACACTCCATTGGCTCCAATTTATTCGTGGGGAGCAGCACGTGCTGTGAACCGGGCCCAGCATCCCTTATAATAAGATACAATAATGAAAACTGCTGATGATTTGAGGATGAATGGATTTGACTGTGATCAGGAAATAGGGTAAGGAAGAACTGACCAGATCATTACTCTCCTTCAGAACACTACTAATTCCAGGAAATAGTAATCATCCTGATGCTACCAACTGGCCTTTGAGTTATTAATATTATACATTGAAATATTCAAATAACTGGAAAAATTATGCAAGTTAATCTTCTTGCTTTCATAGCAACGGCACTTTTTATTATTATCCCAACAGCCTTTAGCTCAGTTGGTACACCACTAAACTGAACTGTTGCTGAAATACAGACCAGGTGCTGAGTTCAAACTCCAGTGGAAGCAGTTGCATGAAATACTATACAATTCCGAATTACCGAGGGCTGGTCAGTTCGATGATGATACCTCAAGGCCGTCCCGCTTTCAACAACAAAAAAAAAAAAAAAAAAAAAACCTTAAAAAATGAGTAATCAGCCTGCTGCTCCCCTGCATGCAAAGGAGTCATGACCATAAGCACCCGACCCTTGCACATTTCAGCCTGAGTACCCAGTGCTTTGCTGGGCTTCACTACAGTTTGGCTGCCTCTTTGCTGAATAGTCTTCATTTCTCTACCTTTGCTGCTTGTCTGCAGCAACCATGTCCTGGTTCAGGCTCGTTTCCGGTTTTAGATGTTCTCTGTATCTAGCATGTTCTACAGTTAACCTCGGCAAGGCTGTGATCGGGTCTGAGCCTTGCTGTAATTCGGTGATGGGAAGGACGAGACGTTCACAACTTCACACTTCAAAAGTCTTGCAGACACACACTTGAAATTAGAACAGCAAAGGGACAGAAGGGCAAAAGTTCTCTCTTTTTTATGGAGCCTACAACCGGACCACACACACAACTTATTTTCATTTGTGGAGCATGCATGAAAGAAACCTGGAATCATGAACTCATTCCAGGGACCATAGCCTGTCACGAAAGGAGATCACTGGAGTCACCAAGTCCTTGGAAAAGTGATGGAACATGCACACTGCTCAGCAACTTTGTGGAGGTGGAGTCTTGTGAAGGAGATGAGCATCCTGCATTCTCCCGAGCTTGCTGGCTGCAGCTCGCTGGCTATGGTGGCTTGCTGCAGTGGAGCTTGCTTGCTTTGGTCGATGCCTTCTCCATATCTGAACTTCAGGCTGCTGCTCAACTACTCCGAGGAACTGAAGATTGATGAAGGATAGCGGACTCCTGGATCCTGCTGGCTGCGGGTGAGCTTGCTGGCCACCGAGTAGCTTGCTTTCTGCAGATTTGGTGGTGATCTTCTCTGTGCCTGGACTTCAAGCCAGTTTGTACCTAGGGAAAGATTCTCTTTCTCTCTCAGCAGTAGGGTGGCTGTTGCAAGACAAGAGGTAGGCATAAACGTACCTGAGAGGGTGGGAAAGGAGGTGTAGTGCTCATCCCTGCTTGGTACTCAATTTCTAAAGCCTGATTCACCAGCACAGGGAGCGTCACAGACCCTGTTGTGCGTGGCGCTGTTGTTCTTGGCTCTAGTGGGGCCATGGATGACCGGTGATATACTACGCGGACAACATTATCCAGTTTCTCTGCTATGAATGCAAGGTTGTCCATTCCTGGATAAGAAGTGCTTGGAGGTACACCTTATCATGTGACTGAATGGTACACACATGTAGTTGTCGATAATGAGATTATGAGTTCGAGTCTTTACAGATGCAATAAAATGCCAATAATATTAGAGACTGTCTCCCCTCCGAAAAGAAACGGAAGTATTTTCGGGTTGTGGAAGATCGGGAGTTGTGATCCTTTCACTTTCAAATCAGCTTGTAATTCGATTCTCTCGACTTCTTCATCCCTCTTCATCCTCTTTATTCCTTCTCCCTTCTTATTATTCTCAATCTTATTAGCTTGCACTTCGTAGTGATTCATGCATGCGCACAAAAATTGTACTTTCAACTTTCAAGGTTTCAAACATGAAAGTTGAAGCATCATAACAAAGGTGCAAGCGTGGTTAAGAGCGATTCTCTATATTTAAAGTGGGAAAACTGGGGAAAGAGGTGCAGTTCCTAAGGACAGAGACATTGGGTTCTGTATGGGCTAGAGAGATGAACATACAGAGTCCGTAGCTTTGGAAGAGTAAGCAGATCTTGCGGAAATCCCTGCAAATTATTCCCTGCAAGATTTCTGTGACACCGAGCCGCATAACATTCACAAACACAATATCAATTAAGCTAAACAAAAAGGCAGATATGAAAAGCATGACCCGTACAGCGCACCAACAAGCCTAGCTCAGTTTTTGCTTCATAATTTTCAGCACCTTAACCACTTTTCAGGATCTTCGGCGTCAAAATGCATCTGGACATAAGGGGGAGAGAAGGGCTCAGAATTCTTTTTTTTTTTTTTTTTTTTTTTAAGTTTTTTTCCTTTTTTTTTTGAATGGGCACCACCTTCACCGCTTCAAAATTTTCAGAATGTTTAGCATGAATGTGCATCTGACACAAGGGGGGCATTCAGAATTCTGGACAGATTCACCGCTTCAAAATTGTCGGAATGCTCAACATTTACACAAAGGGGAAGGCATTTAACATTTTCAGCACGCTTAAATCGTTGAAACTCGAAAGAGACGAAACCCAATTTCAGAAATTACTTCAAAATTCAAATTTAGTTTCGACCACTGTTAATCGCGTTCGGGTCCGGCCAAACGGTTCGGCCCGAACCTCTGAACGTTTGGACCCCTCTGGAAACGCGTTCCAGTTCGGCCGAATGCAACCAAAAAAACAGTAATTTATTTACAATTTTTTATGTTTTTACTTGGGATCACCAAATACTTGATTCATTGACTGATTGGTTGATCATTGATTGATTATTTGATAGAAAAACAAAACAAATGAAAACATACTCTGCACGTCAGTATGTGACACTGATCTATCTCTCTCTCTCTCTCTCTCTCTCTCTCTCTCTCTCTCTCTCTCTCTCTCTCTCTCTCTCTCTCTCTCTCTCTCTCTC